CAAAATAGCTAATTTTGAAGAACGTTATAAGAATTATCTGTTGAGAATTGGACAGCCGAGTTATTTGAAGACACTGATCAAATGTGAAATTTGTTTAAATATTCAAGATAAACATATTCCTTATAGAAAGAAAAGGGTGGATGCAAGTAAAAAAGGGTATAAGAGATAAAATTAAAGAAAAAAAATCATACATTTAAGAAATTTAAATTGAGTGGTATGATGGGAGACTTAGATTATAGAATATCAAGAAAGTTGGTCAAACAGGAAAGTAGGACATCAGAAAGGGTGTATGAAAAAGTTTGGCTGAAAATGTAAGAATTAATGGAAAGGATTTCTTTAAATACATTAAGGGTAAATAAATGTTAGGATGGGGAGAGGACCCTTGAGGGATGGTAAAGGAAGGTTTGTATCTGATGATTATGAGATGGCTGTGTTGTTTAATTCTGTTTTTTCTTCAGTTTTTACAAATGAAGTTTTAAGCAGTATTCCTCATCTTGAACATTTAATAAATGGAAACAAGATGGTGGCATTAATTCTGAGCTTATTAAAAGAAATTGGAAGTTTTTAAGAACAATAAGGCTCCTGGGCCAGATAATATTTCCCCTAAGGTTTTGAAGGAAATTAAGAATTGGATATGTGAGCCAGTTGCTGCTATCTTTTTTTTAAGTCCTTAAACAGTGTGCATCTGCTAGAGGATTGGAAGTTAGCTTATGTCACTCTACTTTTCAAGGGAGGTAATAAAAAATTGTTCCAGTAATTATAGGCCAATTAGTCTTACATCCGTTGTGGGAAAAGTTTTGGAAAGTCTGATAAAAGATGCTTTGCAAAATGTTAACAAAGTTTAGAATTTTATTGGATAGTCAACGTGGTTTCACTAAGGGAAAATCTTGCCTTACAAATCTTTTGACATTCTTTAAAAAAGTTACTGCTTATGTAGATGAGGATAAGAGTATGGATTTGGTGTATCTGTATTTTCAGAAAGCATTTGACAAGGTGCCACATAAAAGGCTTGTAAAAAAATTATCTCTATAGGTGTGGGGGATAAGTTAGCTAATTGGATAGAAAAGT